GAACTTTTGATGTTGATGTTTCAAATTCTACAACTGTTGGTACTATCGTTTCCATTTTAGCTGTGGTTTCCATAGCAATGTATTTTGGAGTGGTGGCTCCCATATCTTCACCAGTTTTTATACCAATCATGGTAGTGGCTTCTTCGGGTATTTTAGTTGTGGTCATTTTATCCAATTCAGTTCCCATTGGAGTGCTGATTGGAATTGATGTAGTTTCATCTACTTTTTTTGAGTACATAGTTGTTTCAATGCCTTTAGTTGTTGAAGTTTCCACAGACTCTATAGCCATTGTTGTTTGATCCTCCATGATTTTAGGTGAACTTAATTTTTCTGTGGTAGTTTCAACAAGTTTGTGTGTAGTAGTTTCCTGTTCGACTGTTACCATAGTTTCCATTTCAATTGACTTAGGAGTTGTTTCTACAGTTTCTTTATACAATGTAGTTTTGGTTATAGAAGTTTCCGTAGTTTCTTCCTCCATTTTAGTAGTATCCGCAATAGTTGGTTTTGTTGCTTCTGCTAAAGAAATTGTTTCAGTTTCTTCTCTCATAAAGGTCGAATCTGTAGGTTTTGGAGTAGTTATTTTTCCTAATATACTCATTGTTGTTTCCTCCGTTAAACCTTTAGAGAATGTAGTTTCTTCCTCCGTGCCAATTTCTTTAGGCATTTGAGTTTTTGTAGTCGTTTCAATTTCTTTCACTGATTGAATTGTAGTTTCCTCTAGCAAGTCCTTAGATGGAGTTGTTACTTCAGCTGTAACCGATTTTGTAGTTGTTTCCATTTCTTTAGGAGTTGCTATGGTTGTATCATATTTACCGACAGTGATGGTGGTTGTAGCTTCACCCAATTCATCCTTTAATGTTGTTTCTTTTGTCAGACCTTTCGACAAAGTAGTTTCTTCTATTGGAATTAATTTGGAAGTAGATGTTTCTTTAAAAGTTGTTTCATATTTTTCTGTTGTAATTTCAATTGGTTTAAATGTTGTTCTTTCTTTTGCCATAACATATTTTGATGTCGTGGTTTCCATTTCTTTAGGAGTTGCTACGGTAGTATCGATTTCTGATAGCTTTGAAGTTGTTGTCTGAACTTCGGTTGTCTCTAAACCTTCAGAAGATGTCGTTTCAATTTCAATTTCTTCTGTTGTACTTTCAATTGATTTGAATGTGGTCTTTTCTACCAATTCAATGCCCATTGTGGTCTCTTCTTCCAATCTGGATTTTGGAGTGGTAGTTTCCATTACTTTAGGAGTTGCTATTGTGGTGTCTATTTTGGTTAATTTTGTGGTTGTTGTTTCCAAACTCTCAGGAGTTGTCGTTTTATCTACTGAAATTAATTTTGGAGTAGTTGTTTCCATAATTTTAGATGTTGCTACAGTTGTCTCAATTTCTTCTGTTGGAGTTTCCATTCCCAAAGTGGTTTCTTCGCCTAACTTCGATTTTAGAGTTGTAGTTTCTATTTCTTTAGGAGTGGTCAGTATAGTATCAATTTTTGATGATTTGGAAGTAGTTGTTTCCGCTCCAATTGTCGTTTCTATATCAGCAGTCGTTATGGTTGTATCATATTTTCCTTCTGTAACGCTGCTGGTAGTTTCTCCCACTTCCAGTTTCATTGTTGTAGCCTGTGTTAAACCTTCTACTAATGTCGTATCTTCTATTGAAACAAATTTGGGAGTAGATGTTTCAAAATCTTTAAGCGTTGTCTCATATTTTAATGTTGTAGATTCTGCTAACTCTATTCCCCTAGTGGTTTCTTCTTCTAAACTCAATTTTGAAGTAGTGATTTCTATTTCTTTAGGAGTGGCTTGTGTAGTATCAATTTTAGATAACTTTGAAGTTGTAGTTTCTGCTCCAGTACTTTCTGGATACATGGTACTTTTGTCAACCTCATATGTAGATGTTTCCACATAAACTTTACCTGTAGTTGTAGTTTCAATAGTTTTCGGTGCAATAGTAGTTTCTTCGGTCGTGCCTTGAGAAGTTATCTCAACTTCTTTGGGAGTTACGTCGGTAGTAGTATCTGTCAAATCAATTCTCATAGTTGTTTCTTTTACCAAATCTTTAGATATTGTAGTCTCCTCAATTGAAATCAATTTCGGAGTAGTTGTTTCAAATTCATCAGTTACTTCTCTGAACGAAGAAGTTGTTTCCATAAATTCTTCACCTTTAGTTGTAGTTTCTATAGCTTTTGAAGTAGTAGTTCTTTCCAGCATGCCCTCAGTAGTTATCTCTACTTCTTTAGGTAATTTTTCTGTAGTAGTTTCAGTTACTTTTCCCACATCAATTCCTATGGTTGTTTCTTTTACTAAATCTTTAGATATTGTAGTCTCCTCAATTGAAATCAATTTTGGAGTAGTTGTTTCTTCAGTTACTTCTCTGAGCGAAGTAGTTGTTTCCATATATTCTTCACCTTTAGTAGTAGTTTCTATAGCTTTTGGAATCGTAGTTTCTTCTACCAAGCCCTCGGAAGTAGTTTCTACTTCTTTAGGCAATATGTCTGTAGAAGTTTCAGTTACTTTTCCCAAATCAATTTGTATGGTTGTTTCTTTTACCAAATCCTTAGATAATGTGGTTTCCTCAATTGAAATCAATTTTGGAGTAGTTGTTACAAATTTCTCGGTTTCATCGCCGAAAGCTGAAGTTGTTATGCCCTCAGAAGTTGTTTCTATTTCTTTAGATGTTGTTTTGGACGTAGTTTCAGTTGCTTTCCCTAAATCAATACTCACAGTTGTTTCTTTTACCAAATCTATAGACATTGTAGTTTCCTCCATTGAAGTAGATTTCGATGTCATTTCACTTAAAGTAGAAGTTTCCAGTGTTTCATCACCACCCGTGACTAAAGTTGTTTTATCTAACAAAACCTTAGCGGTAGTTAATTCTCCAGTTTCCACGACTTTTGGAGTTGTTGTGCTGCCCATTATATTGAAAGTTGTAGTATCATACTTAACTGTACTACCCTTCAATTCCGGTTCTAGAGTAGTATCTTTGAAAGTGGTAGCCTTCGTGGTACTATCATAGGACATTGTCGTATCTACTTCTGCTATAATTTCAGTATATTTGGTACGCATTTCCGTTTGATTTGTTATATCGGCCGTAGTATATTTCAAAGTTGTTGCTTGTGTTGTTAAGTCCGTAGCGGTCAGGTCTGTTGTCTGTTCTGTCACGGGACGTATAGTCGTAATATCTATAGGTTTGCCAGACATCAAAGGTATGCATTGATAGTTGGGCGAGCCTATAAAGTCTTGTGAACATATACATGTCATAACCCTGTGTGCTCGGACTATACAGATTTTGGATTGTGCACATAGTGTTAGGCACGGATCCAAACATAGACCCTTCGCTGAGCAATATAACATATCTGGACAATCGGCATCGGATGAACAGATTATATTGGCCTCTGTTGTTGTTGTTGTAGTAGCTGTATGTCCGCATTTAACGTTTTAGTGTAGATTTTTTGTTTGTTTTTTGAATTAGAGGTGTTCGTTTGTTGGAAAATTGTTTTTAAAAAGTGTAAAATATTTTTGTACAATTTCAGAGTTATGGTGAATTATTTTGTTTGTTTTTTTTTTATATATATAAAGAAAATATTAAAAAATATATTAATAAAATTAAAAAATATTTACAAGTTTAAAGAAAAATTTTGAAAAATATAACACAAAATAAAAGTAATTTATTGAGAGGAAGAAGAGAGAGAGAGTAAAAAGAGAGTTAAGAAGTGAAACAGAGTGAAAAGTGTCATCAATTCTTAAAATTTTTTATAAAAAACGCAGAAAATTTGTACATTATTTTCAAAATATTTGGGAAAGATATACACATTTTTGGGCCAAAAATTTCATCTAAAATTCTTTTAAGGGAAATCATAAAAAAAATTTACATAGTTGTTGTTTTTTTTTAAATTAGTAAACTTTGTATACAACTTATAATAATTATTTAAGTTTTTTTACACAACATACAAGGTAAAAAGAGAAATTTTTGGTTAAATTATTATTTACCTAAGTAATTATGTATTTTGACTAGTATTTACATTTACACAAGTTAGCTACTAAGTATTTGGTTTATTTAATTCTGTTTGGTTTTTTTTTAATTTTTGTCTTAGTAAATACAGATTAGTAAAACTTTTTTTTAATTGGGGGGTTTTAATAAATTACATATACAAATTTTACAAAATACCAATTCTTTAAAAAGTTTTTAAAATATTTTTTAAAAAATTTTTAATACAAGTTAAGTTATAAGTTTCAGGTAAGTAAAGGGGGGAGTTAAGTAGGGGAAAATAGGTCAATAATTTTGGTGGTGGTTTGTTGGTGGTGTAGAAATAGTTAAACACACAAAAAATGCAATATAAAAAGGTTCTTGCATTTAAAGTTGTTTAATTTATTTGTTTTTTATTATTGAGCTGTAGTAGTGAGCATGAGCGTGTGTGAATGTTTTAATAAGGATTTAAATTATTATTATTATAATAAAATTTATTATTGTTTAATGTTTTTAATTGTTTATTAAATCAGACTTGTAAAAAAGAAAATCTTGTTTTTTTCTGTTCCAAAAAAAAAAACGGACAAACATTTATCTTAGGGTGTAATAATAACAGTAAATAAAATTAACGTTTAAAGAAAGCTTAAAGCTTAATTGTGATGAAATATTTGTTGTGGTGGTTTTTAGGTTTTTGTAAGATTTTGAAGGTGTCTAAAGGACAGACTGTGTGGTTTAGTTGGGTAAAAATCAAGGGAGAGCGTAAAAAAAGAGACAGTAACAAGGAGAGCGAGTTAAAAACAGAAACTATTAAAAAGCTTTGTTTTTATTTTGATTTTTTTTTTTAATATGAAAAAGCTTTTCTTTCGAGGGGGTAGTTAAACTGATAGAACTGGTTTTAAATGTTTGGTAACTATACACAGCAAGAAAAATAGTTAAAAATGGAATTTAGTTTGTTTGCTTGTTTAATTTAAGTAAAACAGTAAAAGACAGATAGAGTTTTTTTGTATTTTTTTTTTTGGTTTTTTTGTGATGCTTTACCTTTTTGACATCCATAACGAGAATCGGCTATAAATCCACTGGGACAGAATTTACATATCGGCTTATGATCCTCTACAATACAAGGTGAATTGGGAGCACATTGAGCAAAATCGCAAGGATTTACACATTGATAATTGCGACAGGCTAAACCAGCCGGGCAACCAGCATCACGCAGACAAATCGATATCGAGGGCTGACAGTCTTTCATGCATATGCAAACCGGTTTATGATCCTGAACCTCACAAGATTTATTCTCGGCACAGATGGGTGTACGACCCACTGGCACTATGCAGGGATTACGGCATTTGCCATCAGTGCAAGCCATATTGGAGGCACAATCATCATCTCGATAACATTCCCGTTTCTCGGGTGCACAAGTCAACTCTCCAAACTCATTGACTATAAAGCCCGTCTTACAAACACACACCGGTTGGTGTCGTCTGGTCTCACATTTCTTGTGGCCACGGCAAATGAATTGGGGATTCTGGCAGGGATCCGTACACTGGCCATAAGCCCCACATTGCAAATTGTCTGGGCAATCACTATCCTGGGCGCACAATATCTGTTCTTGTGGGTCTCTGGGTTGGGTGGTATCATCTTCACATTTGGGATCGGGTTTGCATTCCACCTCTGGACGTCCTATAAAGCAACTTGGGCAAGAACAACGTGGTCTATGCAGTACGGTTTTACACAATGCATTAGCTCCGCAGGCACCTCGTAGAGTACAGGGATCAATGCAATGACCTTGTTGGCAAGATTTCTCACTGGGGCAATCCGTGTCGGCTGTACATTTTTCGGTGTCTATAATAATGAAGTCGTGTGGTAGAAATAGAGTGATAGTTTTGGTTTTTTGTTTTGTTTTTTTTCTTACTATGTGACATTCAAGGGACATTTTATAAGATTTAAGATAAAAAAATAGGTGCTGGGGTTTCTAAAATTTCTTGTAAATTTTCAAACAACAATTGATAAATTGTTGTTTCTATAAACAAAGGAATTTAGAGAGAGAGAGGGTTATTTTGTGAGGGGGGTGTAAGGTGGAGGGGGAGGTAGAGATAATAAGGGTTTAATAGTGTATTTATGTGTAAACTTAAGAAACTAAACTAACAAAACATTCAGGCCTAAAACGTAAAACAAACTAAATTTCTGAAAAGTGTATTTTTTGGTTTCTTTTTTTTTGGTAAATAAATAAAAGTGTATAAACTATAAAATTTAGTAAAAAAAAATATTTATGTTTAAAAGAAGCGGGAGTTTTGTGTAAAAGTTTTGGTGTTTTTTTTTTTTTTGTTTGGGGGGGAGGAATAAAGGGGGAAAAATAGTAGTAAATGTTTAGTACCAGGGGTGCTTTTATTTAAAATAAATAATTAAAAAAACTGTTTATAAAAAGAAAAATAATTTTGAGTTTTATTATATTAAATTTCAGTTCAATAATAACAACTGCAAATCCAGAGAACTGTGAAGGGGATTAGACATCTCACATTTTGTTATAATATCTTTGTAATTAACAAATTTATTGCTGAGGCAATTATTAGTTTTTGTTTATTTTTTTGTCTTACGTTTTATTTTTTACAGTGTAAGCTTCCAATTTTAGATAAATTTTAGAACAAGCTGATGATGATTTGATTTAATTGTTTGTTTGATTTATTAATTTTTTTTAAGGATTTTTCAATAATTAAAAAAAACAAGTTAAGCCCAATTATGATTAATATAATTATTAAAAAAAAAATTAATTAAACCAATTAAATTTATTAAAAAAACGTTTAATAAACGACATCCAACACATGCGCTCTGCCCTAACGCGAGGACACGTTATTGGAGGATATTTTTTTTATATAAATAAATTTTGTTTTTTTTAAAGAATTTTATATAAAATTAGGAGTTTTATTTAAATTAAAGGAAAATTAGTTTAAGGGTTAGTAAATTATTAGCAAATTTTTTTTTTTTGATAAAAAATTTTTACAAAATAAATTTAGAAAACTGCTGTTAAGGAAATTTTGATTTCATATTTACATTTAGAGTAAAAAGGATTAGTAAATAATGGAATTATTGTTTTTGTAATGATTATATACAATTTGTAAAAGAAAAAAATATTTATATGTACAACTTATGGCTATTTTTAACAAAATACCGGAACTGCTTTTTAGGGTTAGTAAAAAAAATTTAGTTACAAATTTGCCTTTTTTTTTTAAATAGGAATAGAAGTTTTATTTTTGCTAAAATTGGTTTTTCAATAAACTAAATAAAATGGAAAACCTAATAAAAAAAAATTCTTTGTACAATTTGTTTAAAAAAAATATTTAGCTTTTAAATTCTATGGTATGAGCATGAATTTTTACTTTAATTTATCATAAAAATTTAAATATATATTTTTAAAATTTGTATAAATCATTTTAAGGCGTGCTGTTATAAAAAAAATATGAGAGAGAGTGAGACAGAGAGTGAGTAAGTGAGAGAGCGACAGAGTAAAAATGGCATATGTGAACTAGGTGTGAGAATTGTCCCGTCCACAGTTCCCAATCTGAGACTTTATTTTTACTGATATTTATTGTTGGTTGTTTATATTTTTTTTTAATTATTTATGTTTCTTATTTAAGCTCAAAATTATTTTTTTTTCTTAAAACAAGTTTTCATTTAACAATATATTTATATAAGGATAATTTAGGGATCTAAGGATTTGGAGGGGAAGGGAAGGTTTAGTTTTATATAGGGTACAATGCAGGTTTCAATACTTCTTCGGGTTTCTTATTTGTTCTTTTTTTTTGGTTTAATTAAATAAATTTTGTGTGACCAATTTGATTATTTTTTTAATAAAATTTAGATTTATTTAGACATATCGCTATCGCGGCATTTTTGTTTATTTTAAAGCTGTCGCTTGATGTTTACTATTGTTTAGGTCACATTTTGTCCTACAAAATCTGATAAAGGGTCTTGGGGTGTTTATTTGTTTTTAAGGAAGTGCTGTTTTTTTCTTTTGAAAGATCTGTGCTATTAGAATTTTATTTGTATTTGTTAAAACAATTTTAATTATTAAAATTTGTGTTTTATATTATTTTTTAAAAAATTCAAATGAAAGCGTAAAAATAAGTACTTTTGTAAGAAAAAAATATTAAGGCTTTGGGTCAAAATTAAAGACATCATTATCATGGTCTTGATATTGCTTATTAGTTCTACAGACAAAAGTCAAGGTCCATTTTTTGTTTAAGTTTAAAAGCTAGTTTTATTGTTAATACTTTAGCAAAACTTTAGCAATATTTCGTCTCTTATGGACAACGACAAAACCGGACCGAATACATATATTAGAGTTTTATGCCCTCAAAAGCCTTAAATTTTTATTTTACAGGTTTTAAACGATTTCATTTGATTTTTTTTAAATAAATTGTTTTATTTGTAAGAAAATGCCGCGTGCGTTTATTAGTTTAATTAGTATACTAGTGTTTAATTATGCTAAGTGTATAAAAGTGTTCATTCTTATTTGGTGGTCTCACATATTTTCTAAAAAAAAACTAAAGTTTTGTTCTACTAATGCAAAAATTGTAAAAGCTTTTAAATGCCTAAAGAACCAGAACTTTGTAGGATAATATTAAAGAAAGCTGTCTGGGATTCAACTATGGATCTAGGTACAAACCTAACAAACTGAACATTGCAGGACAACAATGTTTAATGAAACTAAAAACTAAATGAAATGTTTTGATATGATATTCCATTTCCAAAAGAAAGCTTTCTAAGTAATCTAAATGAGAAAAAAGTCTAGTCATCATTTATTTAAAGTTTTACAGAATGCTCATAGAAAGCTTTTAAATGCTGTGTCATATTTTTCCATTACCGCCAACACAAATAAATTGCATGCTATTTATTTTGTTAGCTTTTGGCAGAGAAAAAATATTTACCTCAGCATTATGATCAAGCTTTCGATTAAGCTTTTTTACTTTAAATTGATTATTTTTTACAAATTTTTAAAGAAAAGCTTTTATATTCAAACTGTCTAACTACGACTATGCTAAAGGATTGAAATGATTTTTATGAAGATCATATCAAAGCAAAGCTTTTTTTTGACAATAATGACAAAACGTAAACTTTGCAAATAACATACAAATGCATAACAATTCATTTTTAATGAAAAGCTTTTATATCCTAACAGTCTAACTAAAACTATGGTAAAGGATTGAGTTGATTTTTATGAAGATGATATCAAAGCAAAGCTTTTTTGACATAAAGTCAAAACTTAAACTTTGCAGATAAAAAAAAAATAAATTTAAAAGCTTTCAATATGAAAATTTTAAATTTTGTATAAAAAAATTTGAGCTTTTGCCAAAATTTGTGTTTAAATAATTTTCTTAAATGTTTAGCTCAACTGAGCTTTTTCAATTTAACAGAATTTTAATGTATAAGAATACATATTTTCGAAAATAAAGCTCTTAACCTATAAGCTAAACGTATATGTTTACTAATAAAGTGATTAAAATATAACTTTAAAAAAAGGTCTTAAAATTAAAGCTTTAAATAAATTCAAGGAAAAAGCTTTTATAAAACGAAAAGAAAAAAAGTTTATTAAAGAAATATCTTGTTAGCGAAAGCATAAAGCTTAAAGCTTTTTTTAACGAAACTTTTTATCTTGGTTTTTCTACTTAAATAGACTTTTAAGAATAAAAAGCTAATTTGTGTGATACGCTGTATTTGATTTGTTGTGGTGAAAAATGATCATATAATTGTTATAAATGTACCAAATGATCATGTTTTGTTAGAGTTGAGTTATAAAAAAAAGTTTCAAGATTTGAGTTAAGGATGAGTTAGGGTTTCTGGTAACAGTTTGTTGTTTTTATTTTATTTTGGTGTTTTATTTTTTGGGGGGTTTTTGAGAAATGTCAAGGTGTAAATGGTGGGAGGTTAAATATGGCTTTGTTATATTTAAAAAAAAAAACTTAAAAATGTATTATTTTTGTTTAAAAATTAATATTAAAATAATTAAAATAATAAGGCACAGATTGGGAGACCGCGATAGCGACAGCGACATTCCACGAATTTTCTTGTTTTATATTTTTTTGTTAATTACTTAATTTTTGCATTGATTTTAAAGATCAATTTTATTTTTTTCATATGCTTATGAGTTTTATTATTTATTGGGAGAAATATATAAAACTTACATTGAAATTTCATAAAAGCTAATAAAAAAAGCTAAAATTGTTGATAAATAAAAAATGGTAAAACTAATAAAAATGCTAAACTAAAAACAGGTGCATTAATTAATAAAACAAAAAAAGGGGGATATTAAAAATATTTGAAACAAAACATAATTTGCGTGAGTAAATTATTTTCAGTGTATTTTTCATATAAAGTTTTGTTTGAATATTCTTTCTATAAAAACTAAAGGTGTGTGTGTCTGTATTTGATTTTTCATTGAGAGAGTATTATAAACAATATAGTTTTTTTTTTTTAATTTTTTGCCCGTTTGATTTGAATTTCCTGTTGATTATATTATTTATGATTTATTTAACATGTGTATAAATTGTTATTTAAACAATTTTTTAAGTTAATTTAATAGTTTTTATTTTATAAAAAAAAAACTCAAAATTTAGTATTTACACACACTACTAATAATACTGTTGGTAATAAGTGTAAAAAATATTATTAAACTTTTGTCAATTATTCAAAATAAACCTTTTTGTTTAATAAAGTTTTAATAGTAGAACGAGTTAAGCAAAATAACAAAAAATTATTAATTATTAAAAAATATGTAATTAACAACTTTAAACCCTATTATTTTAAGTAAGAAACTTTACTAATTGTTAATCTAATTTGTTTTTAATAACATCATTAAAATGTTACTCACACAATTTATTAATAAAAATAAGAAATATTAAAAATTGTTTATAATTTAAACAGAAACCCTATAACAAGAAAACTTTGTGATCTACCTAGGAAAGCTTTTGAAAAGCTCTAGATTTTTAATAGGGGAATCTGAGTGAATCTGACTACTTACTACTACACACTTACCTTGTTTGCAAACATAGTCGTAACCTTGGCGCACACATTCACCCACAACACATCCTTCGGTTAGGCAATTCTTGGGTGGCTGAGTTAGGAAACCTGGCAAATCGGGGAAAAGAGGTAAGTATATTAATTTCTTAAAATGTTCTAAACACTTTGGGTGTTTGTGAGAGATGAACGAGTGACACGAGTATGAATCGTTTTATATCACACGTAATAGTGAATTTAACTAATCGATTTTTGTGCAAGATCATGAGCAAATTAATGAGAAAAAAATCATGCGAATGCTAAACGAACATTCGTATATGTTTATGAATAATATTTCCAATTTACGTGCACATGCTAATGTAGAAACTCACAATTTTTAAATGCACATAACCTGTAAAATTATACTCTTTTTTAAAACTCTTTTCAAGCAAACAACACTCAGTTTTGAAAACAAATTTCACTCTAACATCACTCAACAGCTTTCAAGTAATTCTCTCATGATAACCTCTCATACTTACATTGTACATAGGGATCACCGTTGGGGAAATCTTCGGGACAGTAACATTGGGCTTCGTCGTGTGGTAAAACTTGACAGGCAGCATTTAGACCACAAACTTGATCGTGGCAAGAATCGACTATATTGCCATCACACAAGCAACCCTTCTTAGCATCTCCCACACAGCCATCCATGCAGGAGCATTCATAACCGCCGGGTACTTCGTTGCATTTTGAGTTTTCACCACAAGGATTATTGGCACAACCGCCTTCCAAGGGCTGACATTCGGTGGCAGCATCGCCAAAGTAATCGGGAGGACATGAACATTGTGGCTTGCGATCGACAACACGACACTGAGCATTAATGCCACAGGCACCATATTCCAAACAAGGATTACGGCACTTGCCCGAATCGCAACGTTTATTCGATTCACAATCTTCATCATGTTGACATTCAAATTGTATACACTCCTTGCTAGGTTCACCCTCATAACCATCGGGACAATAGCAAAGCATGCGATGTTCGGAGACGGTACATAAAGCATTACGGCCACAAGCCTTCTTATTAGCACAAGGGTCAGCACATTGACCATTAACACAGCTTTGATCGGTAGCACAGTCACTGTTGGATTTGCAACCAGCCACACAGGCTCCACGTTCGCAAAGTTGACCCACAGGGCATGATCGATTGGGACCACATTTCGAGCGGCATTTGCCACGTGAACATAATTGACCGCAAGCACAATCACTAGTTCGGCTACAGGTTTCAGCGCAGTAAGTGTTAGTTTCGTCACAATGACACGAAGGATTACATCTTTGTGGTGGCAATTGACAACCGGTGAGACCATCTCCGATGAAGCCATTAGAGCAACTACATTGGACGCCGTGATTGACTACCAAACAGTTGGCACATTGACCACACTGTCCGGGGGTATCACAAGGGTTTTTACATTGCTTGTTAATACACGATTGATCTTGAGCACAGGTCAAGTCATTGCGGCAACCAATTTGGCAGATACGATTTTCACAGATTTGTCCTTGAGCACAGGCAGAATCAGTATTGCAGACAGTGCGGCAAGTACCGCGCATACATTTCTCATCAGCCAAACAGTTCTGATCGTTGCGACATTTGCTCTGGCAACTGCCGCCATAACACAATTGATTAGTTTGGCAGTCGCTATTGCTGGAACAAGTGGTAATTGGAGGTTTGCAGGAAACTTCAGCATTACCCACCAAACCTTCAGGACAAGAGCAAACCTTTTGATGATTGACTACTTCACAGCGAGAATTGGTACCACAAGCACGGGCATCTGAGCAAGGATCAATACATTGTTGATGTACACAGGCCAAATTATCGGGACAACCTTGATTGGAACGACAGCCAGGTACACAAGATAAGCCCAAGCATACTTCGCTATTGCGACAATCATCATCACGTCTGCACAAAGGTTTACAAACACCATTCTGGCAGCGTTCATTGGACAGACAACCCAAATCATCGGCACACAGAGGACGGCATACGGCTTCGAAGCACGCCAAACCATTGGAACAGTCGCGGTTTTCATTACAATCTTGGGGAGGTGAGCGCACGCAACCCACTTGAGCTGTGGGGCTTGGCACCATGCCAGCCAAACAATTGCAAGAGGCACGGTGATTGGATACGGAGCAAGCAGCATTAGGACCACAGGGATTTTCAGAGCAGGGATCAACACATTTATCGTTGCGGCAGGATTCCGAAGCGCTACAGTCGTCATCAGTGTGACAACCGTAAACGCATTTATTGTGCAAACATACATGACCCAAGAAGCAATCATTATCGACACGGCACGTTACTAGAAAAGGAAGCATAATTTGTTGTACCTCCGCACATTTTCTACTACATTGCTATTCCTAAAAGCGAAGCCTATAAGCCTTTAAAATACTTACACATGCAGTTGCCTCTTAAACATTTTTCGTTGAGAGCACAATCCTGATCAGCAGAGCATTTAGGGAAACACATAGAGTCGCGACAACTCAAACCTGAACCGCATTCCAAATCTGTTGAACAGGCAATTGGTATACGGACACATTCAACTTCTGGGTTGCCGGTGAAACCATCAGGACAAGAGCATTGTTTGAAGTGAGTATCGATTGAGCATAGGGCGTTCATGCCACAAGCTTGAGGTTGAGAGCATGGGTCAATACATTGACCACCTTGGCATATTTCATTGTTCGAACATTCGGTATCCAAAACACAAGCAGCTTTTGTTGGTAACGAAAGATAGTAAAAATTATGTTACAAATATGGTTGGGAGGGTTAGAGAGATTTTAACATTAAACACTTAAAGGGGGCGGGCGAATACTAATTCAGTAATTTTGAAGGTTGGTTTTTTCGAAGAAGGGAACACTTTTTTGTAACTATCATTATTGAAGCACAAACTTTTTATTTTAAAATACACATTTCTGAAAAATTCTAAACTTTTTATTGGGAAACAATGGAATTATTTCTTTTGTAAAAAGGAGTTTTTAAACTGTCCAATTAAGTTTTTTTTTTGTGTAAATATGTGTGTAGGTGTGTTTATTAAAGCTGTGAACAGCTAGTTCACAGTAAAGTTTTTATTTAAAACCCTTTACCCCTGGGGTAAGTGTGTCTACTGGATTAAACTAAAATTTTATTTTATTAAAACCCCTTTAACCATTTTTATTTTTTCTGTTTGAAATACTTAAACCTACGTGTTAGTACTTACGTTTACAAATGCTGTCCGAACAATATGTATTGGTCGGACAATCGCTGGTAACTTGACAAGGTACTGGCAATGGTTTACAACCATTAACCCGGTCAGCGGGATTGCCATCGTAACCATTGCGGCATGCACACTGAGCTTTATGACCTTTCGGAATACATTCCGCATTTTGGCCACAACGCACATTAGCGCAAACATCATGACATTTAGGTACACCATTCAATTGTGTGCATTCAGCATGCGGTGGACAATCTTCGTTGGTCTCACATTCCACCGAAGTACGACAACCCTCGTTGTAGGGATCGCCAACAAGACCAGGTGGACAAGTACATTTAAATGAACCTCTAGAATTGCGGCACCTGGCACCAGGTCCACATGGGGCATCTTTACAGAAATCAATGACATCACAACGTACTTTAGGATCACCGGTGAAACCAGGTTGGCAATGGCAGACTTGTTTGTGATTCTCGGTGGTACAGAGAGCATTGTCGCCGCAGGGTTGTCCAATGAGACAGGCAATCTTACACATATTGCCATCACAAGTCTTGTCATTGGAACAATCATCATCGGTATTACATTCCACCTTGCGACAACCACTCTTCGGATCACCAAAGAAGCCTTCTTTGCACTCACAATCGGCAGCATGGCTGCGAGCAATACATTCGGCATTACGACCACAAACCGCGCGACCTAAGCATACATTTTCACAACTGACTCTACCATAGTTATCGACAATACAATTTTCATTAGGACCACAATCTGAGTCTTCTCTACACAATACTTCCTTGGTACAGATATTGTTCAAACAGAATTGGAATTCAGGGCAAGTAGTATTTGATTTGCAGGTAGGTTGACATACTCCTTGTATACACAGTTGATCAGCAATACAGTCGCGATTGGATGAACATAACGACGAACAGATACCGTTGGAGCAAATGCTACCTGAAGCACATTGTACGTCGGAGTTACAGTACTGCAATGGAACACAACCCAATTGGGGATTACCGGTGGTACCCTTTTCACAAGAACATAAGCCAATGTGATTTTGTGCTGTACATTGAGCTTGAGATCCACAGGCATTTGGAAGTGAGCAAGGATCCACACATTTGGAGTCTAAACAAGTCTTTTCGCTGGAGCAATCGTCGTTGTCAGTACATTCAATATGAACACATTCAATTGAAGGATCTCCACGGGTATTAGCAGGGCAAGTACAAATAGCACTGTGTGACTGAGCAAGACATTTAGCATTAACTCCACAGGCATTTTCGCGTTCGCAGGGACTACGACATCTGGAATTCTGGCAACTTGCCGAGGAAGGACAATCTGAGTCAGTTAAACATTCATTAGGATCGCGGCAACCAGCATGAACTGGATCACCAATTAAACCTTCGGGACATTGACAAGCAAATGAGCCAGGTAAGTTTTGGCAGAATGCTGTGCTGTGACAAGGACGGCTTAAACATTCATCTATATCTTCACAAACTCCATTGTTTAGTTGGTAGCCTTCATAACAAGTACAAATAGCTTTATGATCGCCAACATTGCAAGATCCTTTACCGCAGCTAATCAAATCACAAGGTCTGATGCAACGATTAGTTTTTTCATCGCAAGCTCTATCGCCGGCACAATCATCATCATTGATGCACTCCACCTTGAAACAACCCACTGAGGTATCATAGGGGTCACCCAAATGTCCTGCAGGACACTCACAGAATGCTTGATGTTGGTCAGCATGGCACATAGCATTTGTACCACATGATGTAGCCGAACAAGGATTTGAACATTTATCATTAATACAGGCCAAAGCAGTTGAGCAGTCTTCATTTTTGTAACATTCTTTGGGGGCTGAGCAACCCTTTACATAACCATCACCAACAGTACCTTCAGGACAGATACATTTGAAGGAGCCAGGGACATTTTCACATTTAGCGGACTTATGGCAAGGTGCTTCAGTACATTCATCAATATCCGCACAGCCGAAAGGAGTGCCAATGAAGCCTTGAGCACATTTACATTTACCTCCTAAACATAATTCTGTAGGAGGACAATCTGCGTCTGAGTCACAGCCGGGTTGGCAAGTACCATCGTTGTTACAAATTTCTCCGGGTAAGCAATTATTACTAGTGTAGCAGACCTTGCGGCATACTTGTTGGTAACAACGCTCTCCCACAGCACAGACTGAAGTCTTTTGACAGGGTAAATTACACTGGTTGCCAATACACATATGACCACTGGGGCATTGGTTGGTTGCTAGACAAGGAGCTGGTACTCTAACACATCCTTGCTCGGGTGTAGGATTGCCTTCAAAACCTTCTGGACAGGAGCAGTGACTGCGATGATTGTCAATGTTGCATAAAGCATTAGGTCCACATACACCTCCCGCTTGACATGGGTTGGCACATTTATTGTTAATACAAGACTGATCGGAAGGACAATCTTTATTGCTGCGACAACCTATAGAACATACGCCTTTAAGACAAGCTAAACCAGGTCCGCACTGACTGTGATCTAAACATGATATAACACAAACATTTTGTACACAAGCTTCTCCAGAGGAACAATCGTTATTTTCGCGGCATATAACACGACATTCGCCATTGTAGCAAACCTCACCGCCGCAATCAACATCCGAAGAACATCTTGATACGGAGCGAACACAACCTTCTTTGGCAGACTCAGCTATAGGTTGGAATCGGAAAGGACATGAACATACTGGTTTACGATTTACTACTTTGCATTCAGAATTGGGTCCGCAAGCATTATCACATGGATTAATACAACGACCACCGGCGCAAATAGTGTTAGCTGGACAATCAGCATCTCCATTGGGACACTGACCTTCTGGACGACAGCCCTGCTTAATTGGATCGCCAATGAAATGTTCTGGGCATTTGCAAACTGGTTTATCTGCAGTGACTTCACAAATGGCAGTATGATGACAGGTACCTGGTGTGCAGCCTCCAGTTTTAGTACACTCTACTTCGGGAATAGGATTGGCTTTGAAGCCAGGAGGACATTGACATACAGCTCTATGGTCTTCAGCCAAGCAAATGGCATTTTCACCACATGATTCTTGATCACAAACGTCGAAGCAAGTGTGAGTCATACGATTGCAAAGTTGATGTGTTGGGCAATCTTTGTTGTATACACAAGGTACACTCTGGCAACCTTGGAAGGGATCATAAGGATCGCCTGCGAATGGACCAGGAGGACATTGACATTGAGCTTGATGATTGTTGGTAATACAAACAGCACGAGGACCACACTTGACTGCTTCACAGGCAGGTCTGCAGGACAAAATTTCTTCAGGACCATATTTAATACAGGCTTCAGATTCTGCACATTCGGCATTAGAGCGACATTGGTGTTTTTGTTTAGGTTGACAGCCGTTACGATCATTGGGATTACCCACAAAACCTGGCAAGCAATCGCATCTTCCACTATGTTCCTTGGCCACACAAACTGAATTGGCTGGGCATGTAAATTCATCGCAAATGGAAACACATTTCAAAACACCTACTACATCTGGTCTACATGCAGAAGAGGTGGGACATTCTTGGTCAGTGGTACAATCCGGCAAGCTTGGTTTCTCACAGGCCGATTTAACAGGATTCCAAACATAGCTGTCTGCACAGCTACATATGGCATTGCCGCTGTTATCAATTTTACAAAGTTCATTAGTACCACAAACCACCTTTGTGCAAAGGTGAACACATTCTTTTGAACCTTCATTAACTGCTGAACAGGTGTAGCCTGATTCACAATCATGATCAGATTTGCATTTATCTTCCATATCGGGAACTTTTCTTTCTGGTTGACAACCCGATTGCAAATTGCTTGGATTACCAAAGTAACCCTCACTACATATACAAGAAGAACGATGATCGTTGGCGACACATAGGGCATTGGGGCCACACTGAATTTTCGAGCAGGCATCAACACACTTACGTAAACCTTTGCTAAGTTGGAAACAAATTTCGGAATCCTTACAGTCGCCATCATTATTACATTGGCCTCTAATTGTGCAACCAGTTTCCTTGTTATAGGCATCGCCCATATAACCCAGGGGACACAAACATTTTCCGGAATCGCAAACTGCACGTGGTCCACAAGATATTTTAGAGCAGAGATTTTTACATTGGCCATTTTCACATGAATAGCCATCAGGGCAGTAAACACGTTCATTACATTTGCAATTATGGGGATCGGCACAGAAGGTATTGTCAACTGGTTGGCAACTTGTAAAGGGATCTCCTCCGAAACCAGATAGACACAGACACTCAAATCCACCATGAGTATTAAGACAAGCAGCGTTTTGACCACAAGGTTTGTTAATACATTCATCAATATCATGGCAACCAACGTAGGCGTTACCTGCGAATCCTTGAGGACACACGCATGAAATTCCATTTCCATCAGATCTACATTCAGCGTTAGGACCACAGCTGTTAGGCTCACATACTGTTCTACTTTCAGCTCCACATCCTTCGTAGGGATTACCTGTGGTGCCGGCATTACAAGCACACACAGCAGTACCATATCCATATTCGCAGTGAGCATTGAGAGCACAAGGAGGATTACATTCGGCATATTTAATTGGAGGCATACATATCAAATCGGGATTACCGATAAAGTTGGGTTCACAGACACATTTTCCACTTGTCTTATCACACATTGCACCTACTCCACATACTACACCTTCGCATCTCTCTTTGCAACGACCGTTTATACAAATTTGTTTACGATTGCAAGGTCTAGCGGCAGAACATTGATCAGTTGAACAGGAACCACCAGGGAAAGGATTTCCAAGATAACCCTGAGGACATTTACAGGTAGGGCCTTCAGAAGTAGGAATACAAAGTGCACCTTCACCGCAAATTACATCCTTACACTGTGATACGCAATCTCCTTCGGCATCCTTAACATAGCCGACACGACAGCGACACCAACCAGCATGGTTTTCAGTTTCACAGAAAGCATTTGAACCGCATAGTAAACTAGCGCAGGGGCTGATACATGTACCTTCGACACAGGCCAGGTTGCTAGCGCAATCATCATTGGTGGTACAAGAACTTTTAGGTTCACCAGATTCCAAAATGCATCCACTCTTGTAAGCATCCCCAGTGAATCCTTTAGGACAAACACACTGATAACCGCCCTTTTTGTTAACGCAATAAGCACCATATGCACAAGGTAAATGGGCACATTCATCTTCATCGGTACAGCCCAACAGAGGATCTCCCTTATAACCCACTTCACACATACACTGAGGTGGATCGGTAGGGGTACATTTAGCATTAATACCACAAGGGAATCTTTCACAAGGACTCTTACATTTGTTGTTATCATAAGGATCCAGGAAATAGGGAGGAGGACAAACGCACTCTCCAGGTTGCACACACTTTTCATTAGTATTACATTCCTTGTCGGCGGCACATTTACGTTGAGCTGGTGAACATTGACCATTGTAAGCATCACCAGTATAGCCATCGGGACAAATGCAGGAGAATGAACCAGGTTTGTTTATACATTCAGCTCCATATGCACAAGCTTTGCTGCCAGGGTCGGAGCATTCATCTACATCAACACAGGAACCATCAGACATTGTTTTGTAACCCTTGGGGCAAGCACAATAACTAACACCTCCAGCTATCGAAATACATTCGGCGCCGTTGGGACATTTTTCGCCGCCATTAGAGCAACCGGCTAAAATGCAACTGTTTCCTACCAATTTGTAAGGAGCTTGACACTGACATTCTGGGGAATTGCATTGTTCGCACATAACGAAGGGATTACCATTGAAACCGGAAGGACAACGGCATTCGTAACTGCCGGGAAGATTTTTACACAAAGCATTCAAACCACAGGCGGGCTTGGCTCGAGTAGGGGAACATTCATCGATATCTTGACATTGACCGGTACCTGGATTACGTTCATAACCCTGGCGACAGATACAAACGCTGGTGCCAGTATATGAATCTGGTACACAAGACTCGCCAGGAGCACAAGGATTGGAATCAGAACAGGTGTCTGGGGCACGAGGAGTAACACAACCTTCGCGATAAGGATCTCCCGATGCGCCACTGGGACATTGGCAGAGATAAGCACCAGGTGTATTTGAACAAACAGCATTTGCAGCACAAGGATTAGCTTTGCATTCGTCTATATCATTGCAACCACCAGGTGTTTCTGGACTGCCAGTGAAACCTTCAGCACATAAACATTGGGCTTGACCATTGGCCAACATACATTGGGCATGAGCACCACAGTTCTTGAATTCACAAGGATGTCTACAATCATTACCAATATTAGGTTCGGGACATAAACATCTCTTGGCTGGATCACATACAGCATTGCCAGGACAATCATTGTCATCGATGCAGGTTACAATCGGAACACATTTTACTGTAGGATCAGGGTCTGGTATAGAATCTTCGGGACATTTACAGGTATAGCCACCATTCATATTAATGCATTCAGCACCTTCACCGCATTTGTTGCCTGTTCTACATTCATCTACATCTACACATTTTGTAAGAGGATCTCCTGAAAATCCGGCTGGACAAGAGCATGAAAAGCTTCCCAGTGAGTTGGTGCAAGTGGCATTAACGCCACAACTGCCAAAAGGACCATGTACCGTATCACATTCATCAATATCTACACATCCAGCGGCGACATCACTAGGGTTGAATGTCCAACCATCCTCGCAGATACAGTATGCTTCATTACCATCTGGTTTACAATAAGCATGCTCACCACAGTGAACATCCTCACAAGGTTCCTTGCAGCCAACTCTAGGGGGAGTGCCCACATAACCAGCCTCACAATCACACCTATATGATCCAGGTGTATTTGTACACTGAGCATGTACTCCACAAATATCAGCATGTGTGCGGCATTCATCGATATCCACACAACTGGATCCCAAAGGTTCAAAACCATCCAAACAGAAACATTGATTTTCTATACACTCAGCATTATTGGTACAATCGAAGTTACTGGAACATTGGATATTGACATCCACTTGCTCACAGGCAGTCTTAGCATCTGGTTTACCAGCAAAACCTTGAGGGCATTTGCATTCATAACCAGGTTCCTTATTTTCGCAGATAGCATGGGTACCACACGGTTTTTCCAAAGTCGAACACTCGTCAATATCTGTACAACCGCGGAAGGGATCGCCGGTATATTCGGGTTTGCAATTACACACAAAACTACCGATTGTGTCAGTGCAAACAGCATTTTCGCCACAAGGATTATCTTGACATTCATTGATATCTGAACGAAGGAACGAACGATATGGGATTTAGCAAAATAACACAAATTGGGTCACGCAGTGGAAGTGAGACATTTAGTTTTTTGGGTTGATTTGATTTCATTTTTTTGTGTGAAAGCCATTAAGCAATTGTGTTTTAATTTTTTTGGTTTGTTTTAACAATTGCACGGTAAAGGTGACGTGGTGATAAAGTGTGTTGTTTATAAAAAATTTTTGTAAAAAGGTTAATGAAATTAGTGTCTAATAATTATAATAAAAAAAATCTTAAAACTAAATAAGAGCAGAGAATAGCGTGAAAGTAGAGCAGCAGTAGAATTTGAGAGAAATAACGATAAAGTGATAGATGTCAAACGATTGTAGAGTAGTACTAATGAAATGTTTGAGAAAAATAGTGAAAGATTCAAGACTGAAATAAAGCATGATAGAAAAGCTCTTTTTCATGAGAGAAAGAGAAGAGCTTATGAAAAGCTTACAATAAGTTTTTAAAATGTTGTTGAAAATTTGTAAGCTTTTTGTATGGTGCTGGGCGAGGATTTGTTATAAAATATAATTTTCAAAAGTAGGCTGAAGTCATGTAAAGGAATTAAGATGATCAGTTTTAAAAGAAGGGATTTTTGAATTTTTGACTAATTTTTGTTTAAAAAAGCTTTTAAATGTGGTAGTTGTTAAACTTTAAAATAAAACTTTAACGTTGTTTTATGCAAATGAAATAGGTGTTTAATAAACATTAAGATTTTGTTAAAAAGTGGTCATTAATCTGTTGAGATTCAAGCTTATCGATTGTTAAAAGTTATAAAAGAATCTTAAAGTTCCCGCAGTTTTGCATTAAAAGCAATTCAAATATTAAAGTTTATTAGAGCTTTTTTTTTTTTTTTTTTTGCCAAAGTCCTAAAAGCTTACAAATTATCCTCAAACAACATTTTAGCTAATAACTAGTTAGAAAAAAAGCTTTAAAGCTAACTAATATTAATGATACTAACTTTCACAATGCAAATAACCCTGGCCTTGAAAGCCGCTTGGACACAAGCAACGATATGAGCCAGGAAAATTAATGCACTTAGCATTGGTGCCACATTTAGCGATACCATCATTCATGTTACATTCGTCTACATCTATGCAAGCCAAACCGGCACCAGTTTTGGCCACTAATAAAGCTGTATTTTCTGTATCTGTATTTGTTGTAGGTGTATTGTGTGTTGTTTCAAGCAAAGTAGCCGTTGTTGTATTACGATCATCGTATGCGAAATTTTCGAGCATAAAACCAGGCGGACAACGACATGCAAAACTACCGCCCATATTCACGCATTCAGCACCCAAACCACATGGATTGTTAATAGAGCATTCATCGACGTCTGTGTTTTGTTTGTGTGTGTTTATTGGGTTTGTTTTGAATTTGTTTAAGTGGATTAGTTTTTTTTTTTGTTTTTATTTGCCATAAATATTTTAGGTGAATGTTGTTGTAATAAATAATTAAACCATTATTATTATTAATGAGTTATTTGCAATAATTGTTATTATTGTTTTAAAAATTATTAATGTTAAACCATAATGAAGTCGTGCGAAAATGTTGAATTGCATATTGATGTAATAATGAAGTGCCATTCATTTCAAAGAATTGAATAAATTTTGGGTTTTTTTGAAAAAAATTCAGTCGAAATTGAGTTGTTCGATTTGGTTTTTTTTGGTGGGTGCAGTTTATATAAGAAAAATACAATGAAAATACGAAAAAATTTAATTTAAGCTTTAAATTCTGTTTGCTTGCTATAGAAGGCAAAGAAGCTTTAAAATGATCAAAAACAACACTTACCTTCACAACCTTGAGCCGGATCACCAGAATAACCATCAGGACACAGACACTTGAAACTACCGTCTGTATTCAAACACTGAGCATTACGTCCACATGGCGAACGGGCACATTCATCAAAGTCAATGCAGCCAGTTTCTGAACGTCCATCGCCTTCATAACCTGCAGGACAGTCGCAGCGATAACCGCCCTCCAGATTAGTGCATATGGCGCCAGGACCACAGACATTACCATTACTGCATTCGTCGATATCATGACAACCATCGTAGGGATTGCCGTAAAAGCCTTCGGGGCAGGTACATGTGTAATTACCGGGTGTATTAATACAATGGGCATTTTGACCGCAAGCTTGAGGATTTCGGCACTCATCGATGTCTAAAGGTATAAGAAAATGAAAATATAAGTTTAGATTATTATTTTTTTTTGTTTTGGTTTATTTTATAGTTTAATTACTTACCGGTACATAGTACTTCACCATCGCCTTCATAGCCATCTTTACATTTACACAAAAAGTGTGCTGGTAAATTGCAACATTCGGCATTTTCAACGCAGAGCTGTGCTATTTGTGGATCTTGACATTCATCGATATCTGGAATTAAAATATTTAAAAATTTCAATTAGAACAAAATTTTAACTTCTCAGATATAGGGTTAATCTTCTTGCGCTTACTTTCAGCTAAGAAGTAGCTTAAAATCAAAACTTCTCCAGTTTAATCCTAGAGAAATTTGGAATCTCTTTAAATGTTAAGTGAAAATGATCTTGGATTTAATGATTTATATAAAAAGTCTTAATAGGTGCCCAGTTAACAGTGTACGAAGGACCATTGTGTATCTAAGTTCCCACAGAAGGGGATCTTAGAAGGAAGTACATAAGAACGCTAAAGCGAAATCGCTTTCAATATGTTATAGTCATATAACCATGATAACCTATTTAGAGGTCCTTTGATCTCATTAGCTGTGGTCCTACAACATCCAAACTTAATATTGAAACTTAGTTTTGCTAAAATCGAACTCCCCTATAAAATGTACTATATAATATGATCGTGTGCTTTCGTCTGAGTCCAAATTAAAACTATCAAAACTGAACACAAAACCAGGCTTGGGGGTAATGATTACATAATGTAATCCATTACATAGTTAATTACAATTACATGTTACGTGTAATTGAGCAATAACCAATTACAATTACTTGTTATGTGTAATTGACCAATAACCAATAACAATTATGTACTTGTAATTGTAATTGAATTCTTGTCAATTACAATTATTTGTAATTGAAGTTTACCAATTACAATTACTTTTAATTACAATTTTGGTATTACTAATTACAAATTACAGATAATTATAAGGAAAAAAATCACAATTACATGTAATTATAATTGGAAAAACTTCAATTACATTACATTCTAATGTAATTGTAACATTTCAATTACAATTATTCGTAATTGAAGTTTTGTCAATTACAATTATTTGTAATTCGAGTTTACCAATTACAATTACTTGTAACTTCAATCACATTACTTCAAATGTAATTGTAATTGAAAATATAATCATTACCCCCAAGCCTGCCCAAAACTCTGTTCTAGACTTGTTAACAATTTTACAAGTTTTTGCCAAACATACCAAATATTTTTCAACATTTTACTTTATAATGAAGTCTATTTGCTAAAAAAAATAAACATTGAAGAATTTAACATTGAATCTAAAAAAATTGTATGACAAAGACATACCACGCAATTTTTCTGCTCGAATGACGACAGTCAACGTACGCATTTCTTAGAATCGAAAAAAAATCAAGAAAAATCACAAAATGCAGGTGGTTGAGATTTTAAAATAAAACTTTGATTGAATGTATGATTGAGTGATGGTATTTAAAAGACAGACAGACCTCCATGTAACATTTAATGTTACGCATACTTAACATTGATGGGGACATTTAAATGTTATATTTTATGGACATTTTGTTTTTTTTTATAGAAAAAGACATTGAAAATATACGGTTTACGAATTTTATAACAACTTTTTTTTTAATTAGAAAGATTTTATAAGATTTAAATGTGTTTTTAACTTGCAATAGAAAAAAAATGACTTTCTATGGAAAGTATTTTTTTTAACTAATACCAACAACTTTAGCTTTATGTTATTTAATCAAGTGTATCATTTCTTGGTCTTCAATATTAAGACAGCTGTCAGTTTGTAAATAACTTTAAAAAGGAAAAGACAAAACATTGTTTCAGTAACTAAAAAACGTTCTCAGGGTATAAGAAAAATTGCTTGAAATAAACTAATTATTTGGTTTGTTATTAAGTAAAATGTGTGAATAATTGTTTAATTATTATTATAATTTAATTATATGCTATTTAAGTTAAAACAATTTTACGCATAATGATTAATGTGACATCATCATTTATATTTCAGTTATTTCAAAATATGCTTTTATATTTAAACGTTTCTTTTTTTTCAAAGTTAAGATTTTATGTTAAAAACTATATTTTTTCATTTCTTAACCTTGATATTGTCTTGCTGTTATGCTTTTATTTTTTTGTTGTATTTTTATCTATTGTTAGTTATCTAATATGGGTTTTATTTAAATGTATTTAAACGTTGCTTAGATGCGTAACAAATAATTAAGCTTTATTCTGTTGTTTTTTTTTCCAATGTTTTGTTCATTAGTTTAGACCCCCTCCCTTACAGGTCTAGCTGATCAAGTGGAACTTCTGAAGTGGCAAAATATTTTTTTTTATAAAAGTCTTTAATTGCAAACATGTGCGTAGTTTACTTTTAAAACTTCTAAATAATTAATGATTTTTATTTTGCGAATTTTTTGCTAACTCTTTAGAAAGACTTCAAAATTTTTAATATTCTTTGATTTATTTTCATTAAATTTATTTTTCGATTATTACCCTTAACACCTGTTTGTGTCTTAAGTCTTTTGTTTTGTGTTAATTTTTTATGTTTTTTAATGAAGCATGCATAATGTAATTACAAATTTTAAGTAGTTTTTGTTTTTATTTCAGCTCATTAATTTAAGTAGATTTGCCTTAGGCCTTTTTTTGTGGCAGGAACTGTTTGGAAACAGAAAGCTTCTGTATGAAACATGTGAGTAATTTGTACATTTATGTATATGACCTTCATCAAGGTGATAAATATGATGTCATTATGGTAATTGTCATAATATTCATTTGTCACCCTATAAAGGGGAAGTTACTTCCCTTTCCAATGGCTTTCGACATTTTTGGAAAACATAAAAACAAGTATTGCAATAATATCTCTCCATCCATAAGTCTGTCCATCTCTATATACATATACTGGGCCTAGTGAAAAGGGTACATGTATGTGGAAGAGCATTTACTATATTACTAGTAGTACGCATTATAGATTACATAAATCGTTAAGAATCGTATATATCTATGTATATAGACGATTCTGAGGCTTATCAAAATGTAGCATTCTTTATTAAACCTTTTTATATAAAAGTCAACTTTATCCAATCGAAATTCTTTAATAATTAAATCATTTTATTACTCACATTAACAATTTAGACAAATTTACTTTTGCAACATTAAAAAAACCTTCAACTATGCCACAAAACCGTTAACTAATGTTAAACATTAAATGCACAAAACACAAACTCTTCGCTGAGCAACAATATTTCAAAAAGTCTATCAAGACAAACCAAACTATTAAAAAAAACGTGATATAAATTTGAATATTTTACCACCAATGAATTGACAAAACGAACACATTTTTCATATACTCACTCAACAAGTTTCTTTTGAAGAAATATATAAATAAAAACCAAAAAAAACTTGCAACTCTGTAACAGCATTAAGAGTTTTGAAAGTACAAAAAGAAAAAAAAAAATCAACTTGAGGTTCCCACTAAAATGTAAAAGAAATATCATTTGCAACTTTTCCAGAATATTTAAAGAACTCCAGAATAACAGCAACTAGCGAAAAAAAACACAACACAACCCAACACTCACTCACTACAGCTCAAGAAACCAGAAGTCAATGAAAAAGCTTAAGAGGAAAAAAATGCTAATGTATACGCATATAAGTTTCCACTTAACCTCATTTCTTTCAAAACATGTCCAATGCATAAATAAATATAAGAAAAAAATGCATTTGCACATAAACATAATTCAAAAAAAGCTATATACAGGAAAAGCAAAGAAATGTTAAAAAAAAAAAAAATTATTAAAAAAAAAAGAAACTCAAACCCAACTCCAACTAAGGCCTATAAAAATTGCATAATAATATCTGTCCGTCTGTTCGTGTGGCATATAAATATGCATACGTATAAAATAAACATTAAAAAACTAACTGTGTTTAAACCTACAAAATGCTTCTTAAAATATACAAACTCATCTTTATGGCCATAAATATATACAAAACAGGTGCTGCCTGTTTTTTTGTGTGTGTGTGTGTATGTTTACACAGCTAGAAAAGGAATTGAAAATGACATTACAAAAAATAGCATTTTATGCGTAATAAATACCGGCAAATAAAATTATAATGGATTACATACCATTCCAGTCCAGAGTATGCAAGTGAAACACGATTTCGGTTTTAACAGCGGGAAGTGTGATTAAAATAAATATTAAATAGCGTGTTTCTTTTAGAAGATAAAACCATATGTAACATATGATTTGTAAGTAATTAAGTTATTTTTTACTTGTTAACATTTCAGAAAAGTAGAAAAGTTTCTGAACTTTCTTATACTCATGGGAAATAGAATTAGAGCAAAATATTTTCCTGTAATATTGAAATTATTGGGAGCCAGGACTAGGTTTTCGAACATGAAATTAGCTCTCGTGATCCTCGTTGTAATCCTTTGACACTTTTTAGAGAATTGATTATCTTCTTGCAAGTATGATAGGAATTATAATTTCGACAATTTAAGTTATTCGGAAGATCTGTTACTGAGAGATGAAAGAGATTTGATCAGAAGTTTAGACTGATCTTATTGTTATATAAATATCTCTGATTTTAATCTGTTCAGTTGTAGGCACTCTTTAATTGATTTCCTCTGATAGGAATTTTAAAGATCACAACTAATGTTATTCTGAAGATCTGTTACTAATTGATCTACCAGATCTGATCAGAAGTGTAGATTGATCTTATTGCAATATGTCTCTGGTATTAACCTGTTAATCATTTACAAGAAGAATGAAAGGGATCAGTTCAGTTGTAGACATTTGATTTCCAATTATTTCGTATAATATTAATTTAAAAGATCATTACTGCTGTTGTTCTAAAAACCTGTTACAGATTGATGTAACAAATTTGATCAGAAGTGTTGAACTTACTGCAATGTGTCTCCGATATCAATCTGTTAATTCTATACAATAACAATGAAAAGAATCAGTTCAGTTGTAGACACATGATTTGGAATTGATCTCCTCTTATTTGGTATTATGATTATTTCTGAGGTTAGGTTAGGTTATGTGGGTTGCTCGCTAGCAAGAGAGTTCACTCGGAAGCCTTTCCCTAATATTGAGAGAATGGTTTCCTTCCCTAATTTCGTTGACTACTTGGTTCGTTCGGTCTCCATGAAAACCAGCCGGTGCTTCGAATAAAACTGATCT